GGAGAATACCAAATCAATGTACAGTCACTATTAAAAAATTTACTCAAAATAAGTAATCCTTTGAGAATATGTCAAGAGGGTCACTCATAAGAACAGATAAACATTTACTGTAACTCACTGATGCCCTAAAATTTTCATTTCACCAAAATAAATAATGACTTCAGAATCCTGCCATCTAAATACCGTGAATTTGGAGAATCTACTAATGATGATATATAGAAGATCTATATGCAAAGGGAGGAAAAACTAAAAGGACAATTATCTTCATAAAAACTTTTAAATCGGTTTCAAAAAAAAACAGTGTAAGTCATGGCTTCTTAAACTTTCCCCAGAAGTATTTCTAATGGCTACAAAGATTAAATTGGAATACCCAAGGAATTAGGAAGGATCTTAATAAAATCGGCCCTGCAAGGGCTCAAAAAAGTATGAAGGCTAGTGTTTTATCCTAAAAATCTGTGAGAATTCTGCATTATTCTCCATAAAAATGAATAATGTCTTTCCCCTTCCAAATCTTCACGCCATATCTAATTTGTTATTTCTCAAACACATGATGATTGGTGGTTCTCTAACTCCAGGTTGGACAGCACAGGAACAGATATTATTCATTACAAATTGGTGGCATTTATATGACTCAAGGCTTTTGAATCAAATATCTGTCCATGGACAATTCTTAAATAGAACCACTTCATACTAATTATTATAATAATTTTGACAGAGCAAACTCAGTTACATAAGACAATGTAACTGTGTTTATAATAAATGCCCATCTGTCGGAAATGCAAACTATAAATTTTAGGACCTTACCTTTATACTCAGGTAGAAGTAAATTATAATACTGAAAACATATTTATAAACTGCTACACAATTTCAGAGTTTAAAATAAAAATTAACAAATAGATATTGTTCTCTCACTAGTATAATGAAAAATTTTTATAAGGGCAATTGATTTATATTCCCAAATAACTTATCCCTTTTATCTTCATAATTAGAATTTGCAACTTATTGAGCAAATTATTTTAAAAAGCAATTTATACAGAACTTAAAAGCACAATTAGAATGTAACATGACAAAAGGAATTATGGAGGGCCAAAAAGCAAATAAATCCAATCAACTCAATCACACATGATGTGCTGAATCTCCTGGCAAAGGCAACTTCTAGAAATTTGATGAAAGAGATATAAAACATCTAAAATATTATATTTCAACAAAGCAAAAATTTACTAGTAATAATTGTTTCAATATAAACAAGTTTCCTTAAAAGACTAAATATTTGCACTTAAATTTGGTTTCAAAGATAGGAAAAAAGTGTACATTTGAATAAGATATTTTATAAAATAGTTCACAAAATATTCTCCTTGCTAGAGTAAGAAAAAACATGGCTGCAGAGTGTGATCTGAATTCTAATTAAACAAATATTAAGATTAAAAAAAGGAGAGGCTAGGGAGTGGCTAAGAGCACAGTTAACAACAAACATAAAGATTATAAAATGGAAGTAATTACACATGAGGAACCTATTTTAATTATATTTTTACTCCCTTTTCATTTTATTCTGAATTCAGACATCAGCATACCTATGAAAAAAATTCTTATAAACCAAAATTTTCCTTTCATGTTCAAATACTGTAGCTATCTACCTATTAATATTGATAGTACTCAAAAATACTTTGGCGAAAGATGTATTTTATACTTTTTCTAAACTAATTAGGTTTTATCAGAATTGTCTAAAAATTGATTACAGGGCAGCAAACAGAATTTTGCTTGAAACACACATATAATACATTTTAATTCGGTCAATGTTAAAAAGAATACTAAAAACATCCCAACCCCAATAGCCCACAACCATCAGCTGATTTTCATACTTCTTTGTACTAATTACAGGCAGGGTCGATTCAGAAATGCTAGCCAAGAGAAGGTCTTCCGCTTTTTCAAAAAACTCATAAGCCAAGGAAAAAGTCCTAAGAATGTTCTTCCCCCAAGTATTAATATTCTTTATTTCATGTATATTATCATTTTTAACTTTTATTTATTGAATAGCCTAGTCTAGCAGCTCATTCACTAGGTGTTGAATGCTTAAAAGTTTGTACAATTTACAATACTGAATAGCTAATTACTATTATTATGTGCCAGAAACCCTTCTAAAAACTTTACATGTATCCATTTATTTCATCCTCACAAAAACCCTATGAAGTATGTACTACTATCTTCATATCATAGAAAAGGAAACTGAGGCACAGTGAGGCTCAGTACCATGCCTGTGGTAACAAACCTAGGAGTGGCAAAATAGGGCCAAGAATTCAGGTAGTCTGATTCCAGAGCCACATTCTTAACTCTGTCTTATGCTACACCTCCCTGCCTTCATGTTCTGCCCAGAGATCATTATAAATGAGATCATGTCTGTGACCAGTGAATTTCCATCTGGGAAAGTTTTCTTATGGTGCACATTCCCACATCATTTACGAATGCTAATCCCTGTGACTAAATTTGGCCATATCATGTAAATCTTGGATTTTAGTCTTGAGAGAACAGAAAAAGGAAAGTGAATAATTATAACACAATGTAAAAAGCTGTAATAGAAGCTTAAACAACTAAGATGCAAAAGAAAGGGAAAAGAGACATTTTATATGTGATCAAGGGGCAGAAAAAGAAAGCTTCATAGGAGAGGTGATGTCTGAGATGAGTCTCATAAAACTACTAGGAGTTTGTCAGACAAGGAAGGTAAAACACATTAAAAGAAATAAGATTATTTGCTAAAACATATTTTGTTCTCACTAATCATCAGTATCTTCTATTAAAGGACAAACTATTTTAGTCAAAAATGTACAGATGAAAAGTGACTACAGAAATAGAAATACAAGACATTAAAACATTAATCTGTTATCAAAAGAACATTTTTTACAGTTAATTTCATGTAATTTTATATATTTGTGATTTTTAAATTTTTGTTTTTATTATTGATTTTTTATTTAACCCAAGAAATGCTGCAGTAAAAAGATGTCTTTTTCCCTAATGAACAACAAAGAAATAAAAAATGCAAGAAAAAAAATGGCAGGAGGTACACAGTTAGGGAGAAGTTATGTCTTAGATTTCTTTATCTTGAATCACTAGACATGAGATTATTTCAGAAAATATTTTAAGTAAATAAAAAAAATAGATACTAAACATGTACAATTTCATTTAGCTTAAAAATTTCAGAGTAATACATATAAAAGAGGAAAAATATGAGTTCTTAAAAATCCTTAGATTTGTGTCGTAAGCATATTTCTTGTCAAAAAGAAATGCAAAAATGCACCTGTTTATTTGAAAATTTGTGTTGTTAGATAATCTCTTGACTCTAAAATGAATTCAGCTTATCTAACTTACTGAAAAACTTATATATTATTAGTATATCATTTAAAGCAAGAAACACATCTAGGAAACGTCACCTATCTTATGGAGGTTAGTCAAAATGGCATGGCTTCACTGCCAGACCAAACTAAAAACAAAAACATTTTAATATCCACCAGTTTAAAAGGTGACCTATGGCAGGCTTCATGGTTAGTTTGTGAACTGTTAGTAAATCAAATCACAAGCTATGTTTTCTAAGCAATACAGACTATAAAATCCTGAAAAACTATTTGCCAACAATAAAGAGTAATGAATATGAACAAAGGATACCCCAGCATTGTGGGTGTAGGTATGTGCTGGTGAAGATGGGATGGGAAAGTTAATTCTTAAGGTTCAAGGACAAATCCAAAACACTTGAGTAAAGAAAATTTATGCCACTAATGTGTAATTTTGCTGATGGTCCTGATGACAGAAAATGACACAGGTGCAAAAAAGAATTATCTCTGGCAATTATATTATATGATGCCATGATCTTATCTATTTCAAAGGAGTTCATGTTGAAAACATAGAAGAAAAACAGCAACACCGAATGAGTCAATCTGGCTTAACTGAACAAGAATTAGGGATGCATACTTTGAACAGTTTTATTAAGGAAGTAGAAATAAAATACCATAAAGAACGGTATGAGTAAAATGTGAAAAAATGAGAACAGATGCAGGCATAAATATTATCTTGTAGAGATTACCTGGTGACAATTTTATCAAATAGAAATTCCATTCAATAAAAAGAAAATGTAAAATTAAAGGCAAGCCTAAATTTGAAAATTCATAAATCTAAGAGGCAAGTGAGAGATTATTAACTAACATACTAACAGCAATTTTTTGGCTTTTTAAATGACATTCTTCTCAAAGAACATCTTCCAAGGCAAACTTCATGAACAGCTGTAGAAAAGAAAACATATGTAGAGGGGAAGCAGATAGGGGTAAAAAGGGTTAAATATTTGGTGACAGAAGGAAATTTAACTTTGGATGGTGAACACACAATGCAATATATATGACATACTTTGAATTGTATGCTTGAAACCGATTTGATTTTATTAATAAGTGTCACCTAATAATTTTTAATATTTTTTTTTAATTTAAAGCAAAAATAAACCATATCTAGATTAAGCCATTGAACAGTCAGTGGACCATAAAAGATAACAGATGTATTTCTCTGCAATATACGATGCCTATTATTGCTATACTGGATTATAAGTACATTAAACATCGGAGTCTACTTCTGCAGGGTATATTCTTATTTTGTTCTTCCTTGTTGAAAATGCTTTAAAAAAATGTATGCTATAGCTTAAAATTGAGTTATTCTAGATTTTTGTATTCTTACATACTGCTTGCTGTATGCAAAAAAAAAAAAAAAATCTTTCGAATCCAAAGGTTTCTACCCAACATGTTTTAATTTTAAAATACTGGTTCATGAAAATGTGGCTTTAAAATAAATTTAAAACAGTAAATAATTACCATTTCAGAATAAAGTACCATAGAAAAACTGTAGCTGTTTTTAAAATGCCACCATTTTGCCATTTATCAAATAGGACAAAATGCAGAAGCACTACTACCTTATTCATTGTTTTTTTTTTAAAAACCAATAAAAGCAGTTTTTTTCCTGCAAACACTTACCATCCACTCGGATATAATAACATCCACTTTTTCTACAGGAAGATGAACTTCTTCAATCTTTCCTTTAATTAGTATAATAGTATCTTCCAGTTTATTTAGTCTGAAAATTATCATAACAATTTAAATTAGTATTTAAACACATTCCCAAAACTAGTGTAATCACATAATTTCTTGGCAACTGTTCAAATTATTTTGTGGTACCAAAACTATATTCAGTTTATTCCCTGAGCATATGACTTTTTGATGAATGCCCAGGAATAGTTGTGATTAATATTACAAGACATTGAAACAATATTTAAAACTTGAGCCTGAAAAGAAATCCATATTTTATCAAGAATATGTGTCAATAAAGTTACTGATCTTTTTTTTTTTTTTTTTAAATAGAGGTGGAAGCAGATGGACCAGCCAAGAAAAGTATGTTTTAAATGGAAATGTGTCATACTGGAGAGAGAATTAGAAGCCAGAAGCTCTAACTCTGAAACTCAGATTCTCTAGGATATGTCAGCTAAGTAATCTTCACCAAATTATTTAATAATCTTGCTAAGCCTATGCACACATGTGTAAAAGAGAATGATACCTGCCCTACTTCACAATCTATTATGTGGATCAAATATTTGTGAAAGCTATGTATGTATACAATCTCAAGCACTATATAATTGTAATGATATTATCATGAATAACAAAATACTAGGTGTTGTATAAAATTTGAACTACTACTCCAATTACAAATTATTTAACCTTGTCCAATGACAGTCATTAGATATTTTTACATGCTTGATCATAAGAATAGCACATATTTTTCACTCCCCTTTTGCAATCTGAAACAACAAGATTAAAGAGATAATTTCAAAAAGCTAAAAAAGCAAGCTCAGTTTCTATCTACTCTCACAGGATGGACATCTGAATTATAAAGGACTTTTTTTCTGCTAAGATTACTCTCCCCCAACTTCACTGAGGAATTATTTATATAAAAATAAATGTATTCATTTTGAGAGTAAATTTTGTTGAATTTTAGCATGCAGAGATACTTGGGTAACCGTCATCATCATCAATATATCGAACATTTCTATCTCTTCAAAGATTCATTAGTTCTCCTTCCCAGAAAATCTTCCCATCTACAAGTGCAACTACTGATTTTTTCTTTCCACCACATATTAAATTTGTATTTTGTAGAATTTCACATAAACAGAATCATACTGAATGTTATCTTTTTGTGTACAGTTTCTTTCAACAGCATATATTTGAGTTGTAGATTCGCACATATTTAAGTAGTTCATTCTTTGTTATTGGTGAGTGGCATTCCACTGCATAAATAAAACACAATTTTGTTTATTCACACATCAGATGGAATTCTGGACTGTTTCCAGCTTTGGCCTTTAATGAATAAAGCTGCTATAAATATTTCCGTAAATTAGAATTGCTCTTTCAAGTGAAAGTGTGTATCTAACATTTTAAGAAATTGCCAATTTGTTCTACAAAGTGCATGTACAATTTTACATTCCCACCAGCAATATATGTGCATTCCTGTTGATTCAAATCCTTCTCAACACCTAGCATCATTGATCTTTTAAACAAGGTGGTGAGATTTCATTTTGGATTTAAACTGCATCTTCCTAAATGACCAAGCATTTTCCTCATGTGCTAAATAGCCATTCTCCCATATTGTCTTTTGTTCAAATTTTTTCTCATTTAAAAAATCGGGTCAGTTGTAATGTCTTTGAATTTTTAAAGTTCTTTACATATTCTGGATAAAAACAGTCTGATTTATGTATAGTGAATATTTTCTACCATACTGTGGCTTTTACATTTTTTTAATGATATGTTTTAAAGAGCTAAAGTTTTAAATTTTGATAAAGAACAATTTATCATTTGTTTTTCTTTTGTGGTTAATGCTTTTGGTGACATCTAAGAAATCTTTTCCTACATTTTTTCACCTATGTTTTTTCCTAAAATTTTTTTCAATTTTTTTTCATTGAGTTCATGTTTCCATATAATATCATGTTCATTTTTTTCATATCAATATCTATTGATATGGTATCAAAAAACTTAGTTGGAAAAACTATCACAAGTGATAGTTTCAACTTTATTGAAAAATTATCACTAACCCATGGAATTACCTCAGTATCTTTGTCAAAAATCAATTAACCATACATGTGTGGGTTTATTTCTGGACTTTCAATTCTGCCTCAAGATTCAGATGTGTGCTCTTATGCTAATACAACACTTTCTCGATTACTATAGCTTTAAGTCACAAAACTTGATAGTATACATCCTTTGACCTTACTCTTCTTTTAAAAAATTCTTTTGACTATTCTAGGTCAATTGTGTTTCCATATGAATTTTAAGATCAGCTCTTGGTAATGTTCTGGACTTTTTAGTCCTATGTTTTGCACTGTTCATGTTTTAGATGTTTGTTAAATTTATCCCTGAATGTTTGAGGATTTCAGTTGTACTATGTTATTTTTTTAAGTTTCAATTTCTAGTTGTTTGTGGCTACTAACAGAAGAAAAGTTGATATTCATATTTTGACCTTCAATACCATGACTGTGATAAAGGTTTTGGTTTTAGCACAGTTTTAGAGGCTATTTTATAGATTTCTTAGTATTTTACAGATCATGTCATATGGGAGTAATGACTGTTTTACTTCTTTCAAATCTTTTATTTCGTTTTCTTGATTTAATATATTTGTTAGATTCCCCAAGAGAATACTATACAGAACTGGTGCGAGTGGATATCCCTTGTTTTGTTCCCAGCTATAGGGGGGAAGAATTCATTAACTATTAATAAATAAGACATTCCCTTTAGGATTTTTATAGATGCTCTTTATCAGGTGAGAAAGTTCTCTTCTTTCCTAGTCTGGTGAGTTTTCCTTCTGATTGAGTTTTATATACTCATATTTATTTTATATCTACTAGTTCTATCAATTATTGACAGGAGAGTATTGATATCTCCTAAAATGATTTGAAACTTATGTATTTCTCTTTTGTCAGTTTTTGCTTCATGTATTCTGAAGATTTTATTAGTTGATTATAGGTTTAGTATTATTAGATTATCATTTGATCCCTTTATCATTTCGAAATGTTCATTATTCCTTGTAAGTTCTATAATATTTCCTTTGTTTGATATTTATATAGCCACTCCGGTTGTTTTAATGATTTGTGTTTATATGTTTTTCTCCATTCTTTTACTTTTAACCTATAGTATTTTATATTTAAACTAAATTTTTTTCTAAAGATAGAAAATAGATAGGTCTTATTTTTTATCCAATCTCTCTTTTAATTGGATCTTTAGACCAAGGACTTAAAAATTATGGCCTGTTAGCCTGTGGCCTATTTTTGTATAGCCCATAGGCTTTAGGGTGGTTAAGAAAGAAAAAGAAAAAGAAGTATCGACAGCAGAAGTGACAGATACCACAGGTGTCTTACAAAGCTTAAAATATTTACTGGCTATTTACAGAGTAGGTTTGCCAATCCTTGCTTTAGAACACTACAGAAGCATAGCTAAGACAAAGAATACGGTGAGATAATCTAATATAGAATTAGATTATCTTTTTGGGGTCCCAAAAAGAGAAGAAATAAAAGGGACAGAAAAACTAATGGAAGAGATAAAGGATGAGAATTTTCTAGAACTGATAAAAAGCATTAAGTCACTGACAAAAGAAATCCAATGACTCTTAAGACGACCAATTTTTAAAATATCTAGGCATTACAGTAAAACTTCAGAAAATCAAAAACAAAGAGAACACCTTCAACAAAAACAGATTACCTTCAATGAAATAACAATTATTCTGACAAGTGACTTCTTGACACAACAACGGAAGCCAGAAGACAATGGAATAATAATGAACAAGAGCAAGAGTTAGTAAACTTTTTATTCAATTGCCAAATAATAAATATTTTAGTCTTGTAGGCCATATAGTTTTTACTGCAACTACTCAATTGCTATTGTTGTATGAAAGCAGCAATAGACAATATGTATACAAAAGCACATGGCTGTGTCCCAACTTTTTTACAAAAAGTCGTGACCGATCCATGGCTGAAGTTTATTGACCATTATACTAAAGCAGAATTCGATAGGCAGAGACAAACACCTCTAAGAATAAAGGCGAAATCTATTTCAAATCAACAAACACCATGAAGGAAATGTTAAAAAAAATATGTTCAAGAAGGAAGAAAATGACCCTAGTC